TTTGCTTATGTAACCGTTTTCCATGAGTGATAGAAAACTATGAGTGCAGTCATGATCTACTGGATTTGCAGACACACACCCTCTGTTGGATGCATTTTTGAAGTGACTTTTAACCTGCTGATGATGTGGATAATATACCACAACACTCTTATAAATTACAGGTGCAATTTGTGTATTAGAGTTTTTTTCTGTCAGGTGTTTTATGGAGGAAACATCCCTGAAAACCCACAAGGTAATTCATTAAACTGAAATAGTGAAGGGGTTATGATTCAGACTTTTCTTTGATCTCATTTTTCTCAGTTGATTATTTATTTGTGTATTTAGGGGTTTTATTTTATTCCTTGAATTTGGAGCCACCCTTCCAGCAATTATAGACCTTTGTCTCTCAGTTTAGTGATTCCATCCTCAGTTTTCAAGGACTGCTCCATTACAGCAGCAAACTGGTTGAAGTTTAGAGGGTTTTTCAGAGCAAACTGAGCTTTCATGCTAGAGGATTGCAGGATATTTTTTATAATTGATCCAGTCGTTGTCGTCGTCTTCCTCCACTTATCTGGGTCCGGGTCGCGGGGGCAGCATCCCATGCAGGCCTGAGCCAATCAAATCAAATCACACATACATTACTCAACTGAAATAAAAATAAGTCATTGTTAATTCTTGTCTTTGCATGATGAAATTTCCTAAAATTACAGGTAGCTATTACCACAATCGTGAGAGACAGGAAGGACTCCAAGTTTCCAGTTGAACTTTGCAGTTGAGTTGATCTCTCGTTCAACAGTGATAATATAACGGGCGAAATGTTCTTAAGCTTCAGAGTAAAAACCAAAAACGTTTCAGATATAGCAGGATGAGACCAGAGCCTTTGGTGACTGACTCCTGTCAGACTCTGGGGAAATGGAGTCATGCATCTGCATTTTAGTAATGTCACAATATAACCACTAGGTGCTAAGTGAGGGGCTTTTAACTTGTGTGATTGACAATTTAGGGGAATTTGGTTCAATTTGAAGCCTGAAATGTTGAATTAAGAAAACCAACTCTTTCTTCCCCTGGAGGAATCTATTTTCAGTGTGCAAGTGTTTCCGTCACGTCAAAATCTGTAGAGGAAGTGAAATTAGAAACGCTAATCAGATTAAAGCAAGTAGAGAAGAGTGGAGCCCCTTTTGGTCAGAGTAGAGAAACTCTGCAAAGATCCTTCTAAGAAGAGTTAAAACACACAAATATGGTAACTTCTTCTTCTTCTTCTTCTTACTTTATTATTATTATTATGTTCAATCTTGACTGATTGAATATTCATTTGGCGGGTATTTTATTTTGGAAAACCATTATGTTTTTTTTAGAGTTTATTCTGTTCAGCTCCTGTAGGTTAAAGGTTTTAACTTTCAGACTAAATGTTAGAAAACAGACGAGTTTTATTCCACTCATTTGTGAGTGAGAAACAAAATAAATGCCGAAAATAATTTCTTGTGAAAAACTTTATAAAATAATTCTCTCGTCTCTGCTTTCTACCTTTTTTGCATCCATCAACAGCTGAAAACAGCGTCAGTAAAAGCCTGTCAGAGCATAACAAAAAGATGGCCGTGTCTAGACTTCTGTCTGTACCCGTCACCAAAATATATAAAGAAATAAACATCTTATTTATGGTTATGGTAATTAGTGTAATTAAATTAATTCCTCCCTGATAAACAGCCCCCCATTTGTTAGAAATAACAAACACTCTATTTTGGTTGTGAATAACTTCAAATTAAAGCTGCATTCAAGCTTATTCATTAAGAAACTCTAATATTGTGAATTGGTAAACATAATGATAAAAACTGTCTGAATAGTCTGGGATTTTAAAACGTGCTTTAGGTAAATGTGTTTCTGAAAAGATTTTACATGTTTCCCAGTCTGTTTACGATGCCACAGAGCAGGCTTGTGCCTGCAACCCTCCCATCCAGCTGCAGCTAAGTGTAATAACTGTTTTCATTTCAGATTATTCAAATGCAAAATAACACAGATTTGGATCTATTTAACCTTAACTTCAAGTTTGATCAAAAGTCTGGATCAGAGAATCTTAGGATATCAAAACAGCAGTTTTAAAAAAAGATGGAGGATATTTTGGATCATTTTAATAAAATGTTCAAACACGGAACAGAGAAAACAAACACGTCTTTTTTTTTAAGCTTTAACTTCTCATTTGCATGAAACCCGGTCGTTATTCAGGCTCTTCAGATTATGTGCAGTTTTATGCTGGAGTCTCCCGTGATTTTCAGATATCTATAAATATATACAAACAATTGTACAGAAATCAGATATTTTTAGTAGAAATTTGGCATCTGATTATTGTTTTTAATATCATTCATATTCTCATTGAATTCTCATGTCTATTTTTATAGTTTTTTTTTTCTAGGCTAACGTTTTACCAAAGGTGACTCAAAAAAATTCTATAAATGATAAAAACTAAAACATTTCTCCTTAAAAGTTGAAACAACAGAGAAAGTTGCTCTCGTGTTTGAGTTTTGGCAAGGCTCGTGTGAATCAGAGCTCACAGTCCTCCCTTACTCTCAAGTCACATGTTTCCTCATCAGCATCACACTAATTAATTTACCAAATAGCTCAAACTTCATTTTCTCTGCTTTTCCGTTAATGAACAGCAGCTCCAGATTTGTTCTGTTTTCAACACACTTCAAATAAACAGTCTCACCTGTTTTCAGAGTCAGTCTCCTCCTGCAGGAGACATCTGCAGCGGCTTGAGTTTAACAAATGGTGCTAAACACTGTGAAACACTCTGGAAGCGCCTCCAGTAATGAGACCATGCTACAACCTCCATCGTGTTTTAGATCTAAGGTTTAGAGTAATAAAAAATACCACAAATACGATGCATTTTACTGTGGTTTGCTCTTTTCATCAATCATTACCACTGAAAACTGTATTTATTGATGTAATGTGGCTTAATTGTTCTTCCTGGGCAGTGACGCCCCCATGGTGTGGCCAGGAGTGGCTGAAGTCCCCACTGGAACATTTCTGGCCACCCCACTCCACAGTTTCCAAAATAAGTTCAAATGTCAATTGTTTTTGTGAATGCTTTTGTTAAGACAGCAATGGGCAAATTAAATGCTGAACAATATAACTGATAGTGTTTTTTTTCCTAAAACGTTTTAGTTTCTCTATTTTGAGGAATTTTTTTGGGATTCAAATAGATTTTCAATGACAAAGAAGGAAGAAGCATGAAATGTACAGCTGAAGGTTAAACGCTCTCACAGTGTGTGCGCGTGTGCGTGTGCGTGTGCGCGCGCGTGTGTGTGTGTGTGTGTGTGTGTGTGTGTGTGTGTGTGTGTGTGTGTGTGTGTGTGTCTGCTCTGTCTTCTCGATCCCCAGCGAGTCGTGGAGGATGGCTGCTTAAACTGAGCCAGGATCCTCTGGAGGTTTCTTCCTGTTAAAAGGGAGTTTTCCTCTCCACTGTCGCTGCATGCTTGTTTAGTATGAGGATTGCTGTAAAGTCACTGACACTAGTCAGTGACTTGATGCAATTTGCTGGGTTCCTTATATAGGAAGCATTATTTCTGATTGGCTTAATGAACTGACCTAAATTGGAATGTTTATTATGTGAAGTGCCTTGAGACGACTCTTGTCGTGATTTGGCGCTATATAAAAATAAAAAATAAAAAAAATTACCACAAGGACCGACTTGATGGGCCACCCCTTTCACCGCCACCACCCTCTGACCCTCTAAACTTTTCTGGGAGCGCAGCTGTTCTTAGGGTTCTTCCGACGACCTGTAGCTTGTGCGCTCCAATAACCTTCAAAGGCAAATCCGAACCCGGGCGAGGACGATATTCAAAGAAAAGCAAATAGATTTGACTGTCCCTCCTCTGGGTGTCCAACTCTCACAGAGGTCTTCATTCATAAATAAGTCAGGTGCCTTGACATGCTACCAGTAATAGCTAACATACTAGGCACTGCCCCTTCTTCTCATTCCCCATCCAAGAGGGAATTATTTTCATTCTGGGACAACAAGAACAAAGCCTGTTTCATTCCCTACGCCACAGCTGGTCCTGGCATCATGGCAAGATCAGCAGATACATCAGTAGTAAATAAACACAAGTCCTGTGCTAATTTCTTCTGACCGTGGTTCCCAAACCCCAACATCAACAAGAGCTGTTAGACTAAATGTCTGTGCCTAGATTTATCTGTGAAAAGAGATGCGAAGAAATGTTAAAGCTGTGGTCTGTGGCTCATTAGTGTCACCATGGTAACCAACCAAAACTCTGTTGTGCAAAAAGTTATGTTGAAAAAAAACCTCCCACTTGTTTGACCAAAGTTGTCATAGAGGGAAATTACCTGCATCTATTTCAATTGTTTTTGTGCAAAGTTGGTCTTTTTTGTATAAGACGCCATTAATTATACAGTAGACATTGTTCTAACTGCATTTTTGCCTTTTTTTTTCTTATGAATTGGCAACTGGGTTAAATTATAACAAAAATGTGGCTAAAATAAAAGTTATTTAAGGAGTTAAATCCTTTTTAACTTGTCAAACTGAACTAAAATCTTTCTGAGCGGGCAACTTGACATTACTCTTATCTTTGGACTGTTTTTTTAAACATAGTCAGTAATCTTTAAAACGCACCTGTGCGCTGAAGAAAACATCCAATCAAGCCAGTGTCAGACCTAGAAACTGGGATGCACTGATGCAAATCTGGAGTAAAACAACGGGAGGCAGAGGGAATAATCTCAGATAATAGCCGCCTTGTTTGGTCTAATGGGAATGCGTGCCAGGGAGTAATAAAATCTAACCCACTTAAATTTATAAATTCGTCCTGCTGCTGCTTCACAGAAAGGAAATGCGACATTTTAGGTGTTTTCCCAATTTTACTTTATAGCCGAACCAAACTTGTGCCCCTTTTGACTCCGAACATCTCCGATTAGGAGGAGTTTGCAACTCCTGTTGCTCCGTGAGACCTTTTTTTTTTTTTTTTTTTTTTTTTTTTTTTTTTTTTTTTTTGAACCAAAACGTTTTTGCTCCTAGTCAGATCGGGCCGAACAGCAGATCAGACATTACTGGGACCTGTGCGGACTTTTCTCGTGCAAAGTCCAACAAACTGGTTCTGGGAAAAGAGCCAAGCTGGCGGCCAGTTATCTGGTTCCCCCCGGGGTTAAGGAGGATAGAGACAGCCGACGCTGGGCGAGCGCTCTTGGTATGGCGCACAAAACTGAGGAAAGTCGGGTCTGTTTTAGCAAAAACTGCACAGGAAGTGGTCGAGGAGGGCTCAAAGACCCCGATCATGAGATGAGCTACGGATCCGGACGCAGCAATCCGCCTGCCTGTGACATGCTGGAGCCCCGCTGCTGTCAGACAGCTGCTGCTCCTCAGGATGAGTTGTTAAACGCAGACCGCCGAGAGGGCGACAGTCGCTCCTTCTCTGCCTGCGCAACAATCTCGGAGACCGCCAGGGAGCTCTGCAAAGCCGTGTCCGTGTCTCTGGGTCTGGCCATGGAGTCCGACGTGGACCCCGCGCTCCCCCCGTGCGCCGCACGCGACCAAATGAGCGGAGAGTATTTTTTCGGGGTGGACTCGGTGCCTTTGAGCTGTCCCGGGGCGCAGAGCGTCACCGAGTACAGGTGTCCCGAGCAGAAACCGGCGGGGGAGATGTTCAAAAGTTCCGACAGCGCCGCTTCTTTCCATCACCTCCCCTCCACCCGGACGTCTGCGCAGAACTTCGCCCAGTGCGAGGCGGGCGGAGGCATGGATCACCTGGACGCAGCGCGCGCTGCCTCCTGCCATTATGCCCATGCTGCGCCGTCAAACAGCATGGTGCCGTTCAGCCGCGCGGCTCCGGAGAGGCCGTGCCGGGTCTACAACCTCCCAGCCGAAGCAGCGCGGGAGTTCGGGGATGCTGGGGAGGACGAGCCTGCTAGATATCCTCCGGAGTGCTTCAGCGTCAGAGTCAAGTGCGAGGGCAGCGAGGCTCCGGGAGCGCTGTGGGCTAGTAATTACACCTTCAACAAGAAGTACAACACGCAGCTCTGGGGCTCGAGGCAGCGCGTGAACGAGTCTGCAGCCAGCACGGCGTTCATATGTAACCCGTACGAGGGGAGCGTCGTGCGTCCTGAGCAGTGGTATCCCGGCGGGATGCTGAGGACGCCCCATCCCAACTCCTGCGACATGAAGAGCGAGGTCGGTGAGTGGCTGGATGTGGTCTACAACGACACCAGGCAAGTCCAACCCGGTTATTATTATTATTATTATTATTATTATTATTATTATTATTATTATTATTATTATTATTATTATTATTATTATTATTATTATTACACACAGGCGTTCAGCAAGGTTGAAAATTCTGAACGTTTCTGAGTTTACAGTTATTTAATACATCAGAACAAAAAAGTCCTCCTTTTCAAGCCCATTCCAAGAACATCAAAGTCAGCCATGCAGACTGGCGCTGATCTGGTCAGAATTAAGGAGAAAAAGCCAAACTTAAAGCACCATAAAACTCCATCTTGCTGTTAAGTAAATCCACGTTTTTCCAGCACAAGATGATTTTAAAACTTATAATGAATGCATTGAGTCTGAAAATGCAGAGTGAGTTAGCACCTGTTTAGGAAAGAGAAATGCATGTGGCTGCCTTTTATTACAGAGGTAATAATTATGTCAAAGTGAATTTATTAAAACCAACTCAGAGACCCACTCAGCGTGCAGCAGATGATTCTGCACAGGAAAACAGCCATGTGTCCTCCTGCAATCTATTAAGTGTTTAAGTGATCAAACATTCAGCTGTTTCTGCCTCAGTCTGGAAAAATAAATCATAAAGGCTTCCTCATGTTAAAATCCCCCTGATGTGCCCCAGCATGTGCTCGCATTGGCCTAAAATACAGCTGGTTCACAAATTAAAACATCATTAATAAGCAGTTTTCTAACGAAGTCAAAGGCAACATAATACAGTCAGATGTTAATTGTTTATATATAAATGAAAACAGGGATGTGTCCGTATTACGTTTGGCTATTTAGGTACAGATGAGTGAAAATAGAAATATAAACGTTGATGTTGAAAAAATGTCAAGATTAGAGTGAAATATTTATAATATGGAACATAAAAAATGATAAAGTTCTGTGAAAATTTGTTGTAAACTGATTTTAATTTAGTGAATTTTAGAAAACAAATGAAATTCAAAACACACAATAAATGTTTTAAAGGTGCATTACTGAGAGGTATTGTACAGGTCATTTTATCGTGTGTGTGTGTTATTTAATAAATTGGGTTTTGTGGTGTTGGGGGTCGCTGAGGATGTGGTAACAAATTGATTGATGTCTCTCAGCTTACAGTCTGTCTGTGAGTTCACTGCAGTTAATAATTGAGAGCACACACACACACACACACACACACACACACACACACACACACACACACACACACACACACACACACACACACACACACACACACACACTTGGACACCGGTTCAAAGAGGTTCATCATATCTGTGTGTGGTGAAATGTTTTTCTTAATGCGGTCTTTGGTGATGTTTTGCCTGTAGGGGGCGACAGGAACCCCACCAGCAGTCCATTTTTCTGTGTGCTGTTGAGACCATCAGGTCAACAAGACTCTGCTGTGGTCTGATCCAGAAATCTGTTTACTCCATCCACAACCAGATCCACCTCGGTTACCTTTCATCTTGAGTTCTGCTGCTTTTATCTGCACAAACTCCAAAAGAGCACCCAGACTTGTCCTTTCATTTGCAGCAACAATCTGCTGCTCATTTGTATAACCTGACCTCAGCCGAACCTTTTATTGTTGCCAAATTACTAAAACGCCTCTCGTGCTACAAGCAAAGCACCTGCTCTCCTCGTTCAGGCTGCTGCAGCAGGGTTTTGGTTAAAATGGAAGTCCAACTCATTTATAGAAAAATCTTGTGCGCCGCACGGTCTGTGTTTCCGTCTTTTCCTCCTAGAAGCTTGTGGTTTTTCGGCAGAGCTGTAGATTTTCCCTCGAATTTGGGCCAAATAAATGAAGTTGTATGAGTGTGTGTGTGTGTGTGTGTGTGTGTGTGTGTGTGTGTGTGTGTGTGTGTGTGTGTGTGTGTGTGTGTGTGTGTGTGTGTGTGTGTGTGTGTGTGTGTGTGGAGAGAAGAATGTCCTAAATGGGGTGGTGAGAAGAACGTTGGAGTGAAAGATGGGTAAAATACTAATGGACATTAGATCTGTCTGCATTTGTGCTGAAATATCTCACACGAGCTCAGTAATGTATTAAAAAAGATTAAAAACGACCTCCAAATTTAGTGAAAACAGATGATTTTGTTAAGTATTTAATACTGTGTGCATGAAAGAAGGAACATCACTGTGATTTAGTTAAGAAAGAACAATAAATGCTGCAAAGTTTTATTATTATTATTATTTTACTCGAGGAAATAAAAGTAGACATCTAATTCAGTTAATGCAAAAGTCAGAATAATCTTGGTGCATCATAAAAGGCCTATTTCAATGTGTGTGTGTGTGTGTGTGTGTGTGTTTTAAATAGGAGTGTGATCTAAAATTACCCTTTAAGAGGACAAACAACCAAACCAGGATTACAAACTGGTTTATCCAGGAATCCGAGGAGCCATCCTCCAAGCAGGACTCTGAACCACTTGTTGAAGTAAAGATGAATCTTTCTGCAGCCAGACATCTTCCATCTGTGCAGCTTTCCTCCCCAAGCTGCACCTGAAACATTCCCTCATGCCATTAAAATCCCAAACCTCCAGCGGACCTGGATACTCCCCACCTAAACACCAGACTCCACCAGCTTTATTGGGTTCTACGAAAGGAACCAGCAAGAGCAGACATCTGCTGGAGCTGATGTAAACACCGCTGAGATAAACAAGTCTTGTAAAACCATTAATGAATTTGCAAGAATAAGGCTGAGATTCATTTGAGTAAATAAACGTAAGAACTAACATAAAGACAGTCGTTGATCTTGGTGAGGAAGTGCTGTTTCATGGATTATGATTCATGGAGATGGTGACTTCCTGTTTTCCAAAACAAATGCTGCGAAAGTTGCATCGTTCTCCATAATTAGTCCATGACAGAGTCTTTAGGCTTAGTCAGCGGCTGCAGCAGTCATTTTTATTCATGAAAAAGCACCCTTGGGTTTTGAATATGCACGAGCATGATGGGGATGAACAGGAACATATGTCTCTCTTGACACATGAGGATCAGTCTAATCCATGGAAAACGGTCTCTGTGCTCTAAATGAAACACATTTCTGCTCAAGTCGGTGTCACTTTTACAGCTTTGATATTTTTCTTTATTTCGTCACTGAAGCAACATTATTATGTCTGAACGTTTCTGTTTACAACTCTTCTCAGTACAGAAAGCACACACACACACACACACACACACACACACACACACCGGACACCCAGCGCTGTAGTCTTTAGCACACTTTCATAAATCATTAAGCCGTGCTCTCCTTGAATACCGCCACACACAGACTGCAGGATGACTAGCAGCTTGTCTGGGCTTTTGAAGGATCTTTTTTATTTTTGTGTGGTTCAAGGTTGGGCTTAAGCTGTCAGCTGTGGGCAGACATCTTCAGAAGATAAACTCAACCTGAATAAGGAAAACTATAGTAGTGATGTTTAAAATGAGACTAAATAAATTGCTGGAAAGATGTGGAGACTTGTTATTTATTTTTTTAATCACATTTGTTGTTTGTCGTGTCTGGTTGCAGGTTCGAAGCTAGTCGGGAGCACATGTTTCCCATGGAGTTCTTCTTCCCCCCTCAGAGAACGTGCCTGATCTGTTCAGACGAGGCATCTGGCTGCCATTACGGTGCACTCACATGTGGCAGCTGCAAAGTTTTCTTCAAAAGAGCTGCAGAAGGTAAAACGCAACCTGGATTCTGAGCTTGGTGGCTCACGCCGTCATCTCCTGGCCTGCTTTAGACTCTTTCCTCACTAATTAAACCAGCTTTATTCTATTTGCTAATGGAAAATGATGAGGTTTTTCTTTTTTTGTGATGGGTGGTTTCTGTGTTTCATGCAGGAAAACAGAAGTACTTGTGTGCAAGTAAAAACGACTGCACCATTGATAAGTTGAGGAGAAAGAACTGCCCCTCGTGTCGTCTGAAGAAGTGCTTTGAAGCAGGAATGACACTCGGAGGTGAAGTGCTAACATACTTGATTCAGGCATTCTTTTATGTTGTACAATATGATTGCGTGAACATTTTACCCATAATGCATCATGTTATCAGTCCAAAAAAAAGCATTCAGAGCCCAACCAGACTTAAGACACAATTTCTAACTTCATTTTTATGAGGATATTTTATCATTTTGGATGATTCACAGCCAGAATCTTAATGACAATCAGGATTTTATTATTTAAAATGCACTGAATGAGCCTACATAATAAAAACCTTTAATTTCTTAATTTGTTTAAACATTTTTTTTTTTACTGAAACAAAATCAGATCAAGTCACTTTTGGTGCTTTCCCTGATTAAAGTAATTATTTTTATAAAACTAGGAGACTGATACCTCGTTATGGCGGGAAAGAGGCTCGTAATCTCTGTTTTACGTCACCTTTCCATTAAATGGCTCTTTTTGTGTGTCTTCCTGGGCACGAGCGTAATTATTGTTCTGGTTGAAAAGTAGATTTCAGCGGGTTAAGAGCTTTTGGGTTTTCTTGCCTTGGTGACTCAGATCTGGACGAGCCACTTCTGCTGGTGGACGTTGTGCAGAATGCAGTTTGACATTTTTCTGATTAAATAACTTCCAGGAAAAAGGAATCACCTCTCCAAAAGTTTAAGCATGCTTTCTCTTAGGATGTTTTTTCCTCATCTGTGGTTCAAACAAACCCAACGTTGGTTTTGTTTCCAAAAATGAAACTGAAACATCTGTAATCACAAAACATGAGTATTGCTTTTGTTAGAGCAGTCAACAGGTTGTGAGCAAAGTTTCAGCTAGAAGAAAGATTTTCTAAGATGCCTAAGGCCCGATTCACATGGCAGGATTTTAATGTCAGATGATTTTCAAAGCACGAGAGACCGGTCATGTGGTGATAAAACAAAAAATCACAGACATACCAGTTTTGGTCCTACACTGGTGTGCAGCAACATGACAAAAATTACACACTACGCAAACGGACATTCCTAGACATTCCCAGGACATTCCCACGTCAGATGGGGAATCTTCCAAAACTTCTCATGATCAAGCTCAACTTCAGAATAAATAAGTAGAGGAGGAGCACACAGCATGCTTCCCTCTCTTCTTGTCACAATCAACAGGCTGCATGTTGATTTGTCCTCATATTCAACATGTTGAACCCGCATGTGAGATTGGAGCCATCCTGACATGCTTCAGAGCAGACCAGAGTGCTCTTAACACACCACACATGGCAGGAATATCTGATAAGATCATCTTTGAAGCATTACAATAATCAGTCCTTAAGGAGAGGATCTGGTCAAAAAACTTTTGTCTGAAATGAGGCTTAAAGCTGCTTTAGCGAATCTACAGAACAAGCTAGGTTTTTAACGCAAACACGGTCACGGAACACTCACCCCTCCCCTTGGGTATCTTCTCTGAGACTCTTCTGCTGGAACCAGAAACCCCATTTCAAGAGAAAACGAGACAGTACTAAACACCAGTTGCCATGTTTTAGGTCTGTTATGGAAAAATGTATGTTTATTAATTCTTGATCATTGACTCAATCAACTGAATGTAAATGTATTGCTCTATGCCTCTTTGATCATGCTCACTCATTTAGACACACCCACACAAGCCAGTCACACACACATATTCTTGGCTTCCCCCACACACACACACACCCAACGTCTTTTGTTGTCCGTGACTTCAAATGATGTTTTTATTTTTGACACTCTGGTAGTTTGTCCTAAAGTTGAAGTGGTAGCAGCTGGCTGTTTCTCCTTCTCTGATATTATTGAGCGGAGAACGTCTCACACTTCTCCTCCAGCTTTATTGGCTGCCAGTCAACTTCAGGGTTCATTTCAAGATCCTGGTTCTGGTCTATAGGGCCTTTCATGGACAAGCACCATCTTACATTGGTGATCTTCTCAGTCCCTACACCCCCAGCAGGTCCCTGAGGTCCAGTGATCAAAGCCTACTGGTTGTGCAGCGCACCAGGCTAAAGACCAAAGGTGACAGATCATTTAATGCTGTGGCCCCCAGACTCTGGAACTCTCTCCCCCTGAGCCTGAGATCAGTGGACTCAGTGGTCTCCTTTAAAAAGCAGCAGAAGACTAACTTGTTCAGGCTGGCTTTTGTGTGATCTTTTTCACCACTCTCTCTTTAAACTGCCCTCCCCACCTATTCCACCTTCCTCAGGATTCACTGATTTCCCTATCTACTCACTCTCTCTCTTTCTTTACATTTTTTAATCACAATTGTCTATTTTTTGCTAATTTTAAATACATTTTTAAACATTTTCTAAATCATTTTTTATATTTTTACATGTTTTGTTTTTGTGAAGCGCCTCGTGATTTTTATCTTGAGAGGCGCTATAGAAAAGACATTTTCTTCTTCTTCTTCTTTACACCAGTGGTGTTCTGTTGCAAAATACGAGAGTGTGTAATGCGTGCAAAACCCAGGGAAGTGTGGCGGTTCAGTGAAACCGACAACCAGATGGTCCAATGGTTGCTTTCAGTCGAAAACATGTTACTGGCTAAGGTATTTAGACAAATGCAAGAGAACCACTTCCTTACATTTTTTCTTTTTTTTTTTACCTCCACAATATATTTGCTGCTATACTATACTAGAATGATTTTTAGAGGCATGAAAATATGTTTTAAGAAAATTAGTTTTTCAAATTTGCTATAAAAGCTCTAAAGAGACAATTTACCGTTAATCTCCAGAAAAATCCTTTGAAATGTTGTTGAAAATGAATGAAATGATGCCAAGTTGTTGAAAAACATGGGTGGCTTCGTCACATATAACCATAAAAATACATGAGTGGGTCCAAGTCTCAGGGCGACTCCATGTTAGGCGCCATGATTCCTTCTACAGGAGCTTGTGAGGACAAAATGCATTTACTGATTTCTAACAAACGGTTACAAAGCTTTTGCCATCCTTGAAAGTTGTCGTTTTACACATTAACCTCTTCACTCGTTGCCATTAATGAAAGGGAGTCTGATGTTTGACCCTAATGGCCATTTGTTGGTAAGGTCTTATTAAAACACAAACATACCACATGCTTGCAGTGATTTAGGTATGTACTGCCCCATCACTAGGGAAAATACACACCGTCACTTTAAAGCAGATGTTTGATCAAATTATTGTCTGAGGGCTTGAATCTCCAATGGCACAAGAACCAACCCTCACTTGTCATTGGACCATCTGCAGCTCCTACTATCCATGATACTCCGATATTCTACGTAATGATCTGTCTTCTGTTCTCCCTACGCTGAGCATGCAGTTTGCATCAGATTCCCAGTTTGTTCACATATTTTTAATTAAAACAAGTCCTGAACCTCAGAAGTTAATCCCAGTTGTGTTTCTTCTGTTCATTCTAAACGTATCAACTCAGAAAATGCCTAGAAATCATAGTTTTGCACTTAATTTATGATCACACAACACACAAATGCATTAGTTCCATTTATAGAAATGGACATTCAAAGAAAACTGAAGCATGTGAGCAATATTTTACAACATTCAAGAGCTATAGCGGCGATCCATGCACATTCGCCGTAATGCATGGGCCTCTTTATGCCTTTGTGCATGCACACAAACATATTCTTGAATCTACAGAGCATTCTGCGCCCGGCTCGGGGTGTGCAGTGCTTGAATATAAATTTGATTTTAAAAAGTGCTGTAAGGACGGTAACAAATGCAGCGCACTCCACACTAAACGAACAAAGCCCACTACAGAGAAAGTGAAGTCCTAAAAGTGAAACTATTAATGGCTTTCCAAGACCAAGTACTTTATTCTTTGCACTGCACATCTTAGCTGGTTCACTTCAATTGCAGCATCATCACAATAGGGGATGTTACTGATAATCAAGCCCCTGACTGAGCTGCCATGCAATTTAGACCTCTTCCATTCACTTCTCCTTACTGTCACCCAGACCTGCTCGTCAAATTAGGCTGTAAAGATTGACATGTAGTGGACTAATTTTGGTCCTGTGTTCAATTTTCACTCTCTTCCATTTTCTCATTCTGTTAACGGTGAAAATTGGGCTGCAGGCACAAAGCTGACACGAGACATGTGAATTAAAGCAGCAGACATGCTGGTAATTTTGCCACCAGTCACTGACAAACCCTGTGGAGGGAAAATGTGATCTAATGCTGTGATTGTAGTAAAAAGGCACCTCTTTTTCTAGTCGTGGCTAAAAAGATCCTTTCACTTATGTTCTCATCACGGACGTATAATTGACTCTCGGCATTTCACAGGGAAATTTATGGTGAGGAATCATGGAGGAGGCAGCAGTAGGATGGTGTCACTGAGAGGGTTTTCTTTGCTTTAGGTACTTTAAAGAAAGTTAGAAGTTATAGTTGTGAAATTTGATTTAAATATAAGAAAATTACAAATCGTTCTCCAGTTACAGTGCTGTGGAAATTAAATTGCCTTCATTAACTGAGATGATCCATAATATTTGGAAAGCTGGCTTTTATTTGATATCCTGGTTACTGCTAACTTGGCAAGCCATCCTATATGTAAATATATAGTCTGGCCAAAAGAAATGTCACACTCACTAATATTCTGTTGGACCACCGTTAGCTTTAATTACAGCCGACATTCCCTTTGGCGTTGTTTCAAAAAGCTTCTGCAATGTCACCAGATTAATCTCCATCCAGTGTTGCATTAATGTTTCACCAAGATCTTGCACTGATGATGGTAGAGTCTGACCGCTGCACAAAGCCTTCTCCAGCACATCCCAAAGATTCTCAATGAGGTTAAGGTCTGGACTCTGTGGTGGTCAATCCATGTGTGAGAATGATGTCTCATGCTCCCTGAACCACTCTTTCACTATTAGAGCCTGATGAATCCTGACATTGTCATCCAGGAATGCGTCCGTGCCATCAGGGAAGATGGAATATCCTGGTCATTCAGTATATTCAGGTAGTCAGCTGACCTCATTCTTGGAGCACATCCTGTTGCTGAACCTAGACCTGACCAACTGCAGCAACCCCAGATCATAATACTTCCCCCA